TAAAGAATGCAATCCAGAAACATTACTTATATCTTGATTAAATAACAAATTGTTGTACCAAGCCTCTCTTAAAAAGTCACTTGGAACATGTTTTTATTACTTCTGAGGCTCACTCTTTCAAATCCTGCTGGTAATTTTTTTTCTTCACAGCTCTTTTAAATGTAATCAAAGAGAATTTTTTGCCTTTGTTGTAGTTGCAAACTAACACCATGTAAAACCCTGACCATAGCCAAAAATTATGCACAATGACAAAAATGGTATCTGGTTCCTAAATGAAACTGAAGTGGACGAGTTCTCTTTTTTAGTTCCCCCAGTGAAAACATTGATTCTTAATACTAAGGACAGCCAGTTATAGTATGCTCAAATTCTGAGCTTTTTTGTTGTTGTTTGTTCAACTAAATAATGTCTTTAATTTTGCAGATTAAAATTAGGTTTAGCTTTGAAGGGTGAAATTATAACGAAATTAAAAAAAATCAAACATTCAGCTGTGCCTATTAATCATTAAGGGTGCAGTCTCTGCATGGGATTCTCCATAGGGCAAAGAAAGTGTTACTGCAAGCTGTCACAGCCCTGGGACTTGCGATTTTCAATTGACGTAGGATCTTGAGAGAGAATTAGCCTTTTATGTTTCAGTTGTTAACAAGCTGCTGGCCTTTTTTCTCTAGCACCAATACCTGGTAATAGTTTCTCCCTCTTGGTTTTGGTTTTTGGGTTTTGTTTGTTTGTTTCTTTTTTATTTTTCATGTAGTCTTTATCATTTAGACGGCAGTCTAAACTTGTTTTCAATAACTGTCAGGTATTATCTGCTGCAGTACAGAAGAGGCATTTTTGCTGTTGAGTTTGGACAGTAGAAGAACATTTAATGTGTAGCATTTGAAGACCACTCATTTTCTATTCTTGAAAGCATATTGCAGCACTTACAATTGACTATATCCTGCAGATTGTGAAGTTAAGCCATATTATAGGACTACAAGATCTTTTTTATTGTCTTAAGTTGCCTGTGTTTTTTAACTTGTCTGCCCCTCCTCCCTCAAATCCCCCTCTTCTAGAAAGAAAGACTTGTTTGTTCCTGCTCTGCCTGTGAGGTCTTTGCAGCCTCCGCTGTGTGGGTGCAGAGCCCCTTATTTAAATGCTTTCCATAGCCATGGAACATAAGGAACAGGATGCATTAGAAAACTGGTAAGTCCTAGCTAACAGATAAAATGAAGCTCTTTACCTTTAAAAAGAGCTGTGTGTGTCAGCATCATCACAGACCCATGAGATGTGGAAAAAATAAAATGTCCTTATCTGAGATCACGTTGATAAGCATGTTCTTTAGAGTGCAGATCTCTGCAGTTGCATCCGTGGTAAGTAATGGAGAATTGAGAATGTAAAAAAAAAAAAAAACAAACCTCCCACAAAACAAACAAATAAACAAACAAAAAAACAACTTCAAAACAACAACAAAAAGCTTTAAACCCCTCTTTTTTCACTACCATTGAAACAAGATATGTTTCCTCTCTTTTCATTAAGTATTGTATTGGAAATGATAAAAATTACATTCTTCTTATCACTAAGGTGGCTGAAAATCACTGAGTGTTATTACTGCTGGGTTTTTGGTCACTGGTTCTTCACTTGGATACGTTAAGTCAATGAAATTCAGTTAGCTGCATCTTCTTTTAATATCCTGACTTTTAGTTTATATTCGGGGTTAAAAATAGTTCACTCATATAAAATACATTTCCATGATCTGTTCTGAGGACAGTTTAAAGTTTTATCAGTTTGAAGTCTGTTGCATTTTCATTCTTGAAATAATAAAATGTTCAGAAACATCCTTTTAATGGAGACCTGATCAATAATAATTTAGAAACTGGAGTTTTGGGTTCAGTTTCCGAAGAGTTGCCAAATCATCTCATTAAGTTTTCTTCTAATATTTATTGATGAATATTAAGTACACACCAAAGTCTCAGTATCTTATGATATTCCAGTTTTAGATACACTTTCAGTTACAAAATTACTTAAAAAATAGACATTAGAAGGCATTTTGGGGATCTGGGATGAGGGATTAAAACGAAAAATATCAGAGAAACATGATTTCTTTCTTATAGTTTTTGTTGTGAAGTCAGTAGATGAGAAGAATGGAGCAAACAGTGGTCAGAGAGAACAGGAATAATACATGCAGCTATCAGAAAGATACACTTATGTAAAATATGAAGCATTTGGCATGAGCAGGAAATTATTTACAAAACTACCTATTCGTGGAAAAGAGACCTAGGGAAATAATACTTGTATAGTGCATTCAGGAAAAACAAAATCATAACATATTGAAGGAATGTTACTGATACTGCACTTAAGTGTTTAAGGTTAGACACTTAAATTTTTATGAGGTTATCTGTAATATGCCTTGGCTGTGAACTACATTGAGGCAGGACTCCAAAACCTCCAAAACCAAGATGTGATTATATCTTTGGGGACTAAACCGTAAAGGCAGCCTTTTTAACCAAAAGAAATTGACATTTTTCAGCTTTGGTTACTTAATTTTTACAAACTAGGTAGTCTGCTTTTAACTTAGATGTGCTTCTTTCCGGTGATTGTAATTTTCAAACTTTCTTCCCTCTTGGCTTTCTACTGTAACTGACCTTCCATCTTGTTTAATAACAGGGTTTGAATCCCGGAACTTCTGAAGGGTAGCACAGACTTCAGATGGAGTTGCAGAATTAACTAACAGCAGGAGAAGGCTGTTGTTTTCTGTTGTTCCCTACTAACTCCTTCATTACTGCTTTTAAGTTGAAAGAGGGTAAGATATATAAAGCAAAAGGCATGGTCCTGGTTCCAGACTTGAAAAGAGAGAAAGAAGGACATATGTTCCCCATTCCAGCAATGTCATGTCTAGCTTGTCTAGAACTGCTAGATGGGCTGCATTTCTTTTTGCATTGCTTTCTCTAGCTTCAACTTTGCCCTGATTTGGTAACTTTAGGTAGTCTAATTGCTGTCAGTCTTCCAGCAAACAGTGCCCAGTGGAGATCCTGGAGCATGTAATTAAAAGTTCGCTGCCCACATCCTTACAGGACAGCTGTTGAAACTGTTTGAACTTCTGCTTAACATTTTCCGGTGTCTTGGGGCCAGTCTTCCTGTTGCTGCCTTAGAGACTACAGCTTGTATAGGAAATCTGGTTAATTAGCTGATTCTGGTCAACTTCTTCCTAAAGTTCAGTTCTGATGGGGAAGTGATGCTGGGTGTCCATGCTGGATAAGGATGGGACTTGTGGGTTGGAGTTGAACCTCTGGCCCTTGGTATTCCTTTTGTTGTTTCTGCTTGGCATTGGAATTCAGTTTCTATTCCTACTTCACTGGTTTGCTTACCTTTACAGGAAATTTTATCTTATTAGTGATCATATGTATGAAGCTCTCTCACTAGTAACTGCATAAAATATTATTTCAAATTACTTCAAGCTATTTGACACCATTTAATTTTGACGTGACTCATGAAAATGTGCTCCATCTGCCCATTAGACTGTTGACTCTGTGCTAGACGAGTGGATTAGTTGAAAGTTGGACTGAAGAGTTGAGTCTGTAACTGGTTTAGTCTTTTTTGTTTGACTTTCTGTTATCACTCCAGTTAGTATATGGCATTTGTTCTTCATATATTACCTCCCAATGGAAAGGTGAGCTGTGGTAAGGGAAAAAGGGAGTAAGGCTTATGGACAGTGGAGACTGGAGGGCTTTTCAGTGAAAAGTTGATACCGATTCTTTATGAGATAGTTCTCCTTTCTTATGGCATTTAGAAGTGTTAGTGTTCCAGAAATCCTCTATATGATGAGAACATTAAATCAAACTAATTCAACAGATGGTTTTCTTTGCCCCAAATCACCCTGTCATCCTAAAAGAAGCTCTCTCCTTTTTTTTCCTATGTTTCTATAAACTATAATCCTCATTCCCAGAAAAAAATATAAACCTCTACCATTCTCCTATCACTGCTTTATTCTGTAGCATATTGTGAATGTTAACAGATTCAGGCTATTACAGAAAACACAATAGAGAGTTAATTCCAAAACTGAAAGCCCTTGAAAATGTTGTCCTTGCAATACAGTCAGCCTTTCCCAGCCCTATGTTTCGCTATGGGAACTCCAGTCCCTCCGTTGACTTTAACCATACTGGTATCATATGAGGGAGAAATCCGGCCTGTCAGGTAGATGCATCCCAGTCATGCATTATTTTATAAAATAAAATTGTCTTAGACCTTGATTTTATGGGGGAAGATGGGTTCTCATTGTCCATTAGGCATAGGAAGTGACACTTTTTCTTCTCCGCTCCCGAGAAAAGATGCATTGCATACTGCTGTGGGGTAAAAGAAAATGAAGCAAAATCTTTCCTATGTTGATGTCAGTAGTTATGGCTGTATAATTCATCTGCCATTTCTGTACCAGCTCTAATTTTGCCTGTCAAGAAGCTCTAAATAGAGTCTATAACACTAAAAGCTTGATGTGACATGGATGTGAATGCTTGTTGCGTGACCTGCACTGCAGTGGGAAGAATTTAACTTCCACTTAAATTAACCTTTAACTAGATGTAGTTCAGTATAAGTAGGATGATCCATTATCATTCTCTGTGTTCTTGTGTTTAATGATTCTAAGATTTCACATGAATATAAAAAGTTATTTTATACTATTCGTGTCTAAAGTGAGAATAGTTTATTAGAAAGAAGAGAGATCCTTGTAATTCAACTTGAAATATTTTACTACCACTTTTGAATTTTTCACCAGCTTATATATTTAACTGTTCTCAGAAGCTTTTTGAACAAGTATGCATTCTTAAACAGGAGACTATTACATTAATTTTACACACGTTGATTGCTCACACGTGAGCATACATTTCACACTTTGAACATCAGTGTAACTGCATGTTTTGCACTGTCATGGCTTGTCATATAAATTTTTTATTATATGCCTTTTATGGATAATACTTTCCTTGCATGTATTTGTTTGAGTTTCATTTTAAATGTTTATTGTTTTGGTTCCTTAGCCATGAATCAGCGAATCAGCCAAAGTGCTCCAGTGAAACAGCCACCTCCTCTGGCTCCTCAAAGTCCTCAGGGTGGTGTGATGGGTGGGAGTAGCTCCAATCAGCAGCAACAGATGAGACTTCAGCAGCTACAGATGGAGAAAGAAAGGCTGAGACTGAAGCATCAAGAACTGCTTCGGCAGGTGAGGCCACAGGTTAGACACCTACTTCCACTATTTCTTTTGTATGTTATGTTTTGATTTGGCTAAGTTGTTGTTTCAGTGAATTTTAAAGACCTGTGACTGTACAAAAAGCTTTGAGATCTAGAAAGGTCTGAATTCATGCTCTTACTTATATCAGCTTGGTAGTGAAAATATCTGACTTATCAGACTGAAGGATTTTGCTTTCCTTCCTCATTCCTCCTCTAAAAGAATTCTCTGAGAACGGGTTTCATAAACCAAAAAGGATGACAACATGGACTGTTGATGTGATTGGATATTCCTCTTGAGGATATATATCATATTCATTGAGTTCCAAGTCATGTAAAAGGCAAAAAGTTGGTTCCCACAGCTGCTTTGGTTTTCCCTTTTAAGTGGAAGAAAGTCTTCAGTTTTAGAACCTGTTGTAGTCTGCAATATTTTGAAGTATTTTTAAAGTTCATATAAGATTCATTAAGGGGGACACCTTGTTGCCAAAATCTTGCCTGTTCAACAGTGGAGTGAGCATGGAACAACTGAATCACTGCTGCGTTTTGAGCCCATGGTTTTCTTATGCTGAAGAACTTCAAACTTCATAATTAGGCTACAAGCTATTCTTTTCAGTATTTTTCTACTATATGAATATAGCTGTAGCAGATGTTAAAGTGTAGGACTAGACTTTGCAGTCTCTGGATGTTGAATTCGGTCTTGACCTCCTTTTGACTCTAAGCCTTCTGCTTCGATTTTTCCATCTGAATGTTTTAAGAGTTGCTACCATCTGTGCTAGATACTTAGGGTATTCTTTGGGGTTTTGACACTGCCAGAGAAAGCACTAATCTTTTCTTTGAGGAAAACCTTCTAAAATCTTATCCTTTTCACTTTGGGTGATGGGCCTTGTATCAGAAGAGGATAATATCTTAATGTCCTCAAAGACAGCTTTTCTCTTTCTTCATCACCTGCAGTATTCTGTCCTGGATTCTGACTCCCGTTATCCCCTTTGTAGTCAAGGCCTGTTTTGTAGGAATCTTCAGCATCTCTTGGTGTAAGATGGGTCATCTTTACAGCCGTTACTTTTTATAGTACTCTAGGTAAGAATACATTGCAAAGGTGGTATCAGGACTTTCTCTCTGCTTAAGCACCTGGGCTTCTGCTGTTCCTGCTTTGCAATTAATCCACCAACAAACATTTTACCCTGCGCTAGCATGCTTCTAGGTAGGCCTTCTAATTGTCTTCTTGCCTCAGTTGTCATTGAGAACCTGACTAACTTTGGACCAGGTGACAGCCAGTTTTCTTCATGTTGTTCTCTCTAGTCGTTAAGCTTATCTGTCAAATACTCATCCCTGGTAAATCTGTGAGTTTTGTTTCACTGTGTCATGATTTTTATAGTTTCTTAACTCCCTTATCCTGTCTCATCTGGCCTGTCTTGGGGGCTTGATACTACAAGATGGTGTTTGTAAGACAGCCTGCATAGGTAAACCATGCAGCTAAAGTAATTTTTATCCATCTTATTTTTACTCTTAGGCATTGCGGAATATCAATCCCAGCACAGCAAATTCTCCAAAACATCAGGTAGGCTCTTAACTGATGTTTCAGCATAATTAGAAAAATGAAAGCATTAAATTAGGCTAGCAGGGAACTTTTTGCTACATGAAGGCATTCTAAGAACAGAAAAAACATACAAACAAAACCAAGCTCTGCCATGCGAATTTTTGAACTACTTTTCTGGTCGTGACCCTAAACACTGTTTTTTAAGAGTGCTGCATTACCACAACTTTATATCAATATGTAAGAGCAAATGAGGAATTCATTGCACATTTTTCTGCATTGAAAACAACCTTCTTGTTTAGCATTCTTGAGGATACTGCTATTCCAGTCCCGTTGTCATCAAGATGTGTATTTAAAAGAAACTATCTAAGGTAGTAGTTAGTGACTTTTAAGTACTGTTCATATGAATGTTCTTATCGGTTTGTTTAAACAGGTATGATCTTAAAGAAGGATATCTGTAATCAGTTAATAAAAAGTCACTTGAAATATTTATGATTTTTAAACATGCACAGGTAACAGAATTACTTAATAGACTAACAAAATAATTGCTATGCAATTATATAATACATAATATGTAATTATTCCATTTTGACATTTAGCAGGCTCTTTCACAGGTACATTTTCCAAATAGGAACAATTCAGAAAAGCCTTTCAAGTTCAGACCAAAACAAAATTGTTCAAAATGTGAAGCATAATAAACAGGTTAATGTGATCTTCTTTTAGTTTCTAAAGAAGTTGAATATGGAATGAATCTCTGAAAGGGTGATTTATATGTATATTCAGAGAGCTTCACGTTTGCTGGTGCTAACAGTATTCTTAATCTGTTAGTTCTTAGTACAATATTTATATTGGCTTGTATTGTACTTTGTGTTTTAAGAACAACTGTATGCACTAGGCAGGAAAAGCAGAATAAAAGAAAGTATCCTGTGTTTGGAAGCCATGGTGTACTGGTGTACTATTGCATACCACAAAATTTGTATGTTACTAGTTTGGAGAAGAGGAACCTCAGACCTTAGAAATAGTGCTGACATCCTGGAATAAATACTTTGCTTGGCAATACCAGAGCAGTTCTTAAACTGAAGCATTTTAATTGAGATGTAATAACTTGATTCCTTTACAGACCATTAACCACATAATGATCTTGTCGATCAATATTAGATACTATTCTAGAGGAGAAAAAAAATCCTAAAGAATTGTGGATATACAAGAGAATAAACAAAGGAGGACACTCCTCCACACCAGTTGGAAACACCTTATCTTCTGGCATAATTAGGTCATTCAGAAGGATTCAGGAGGGATGTTTTTCTTACTGAATGCCAAAAGCGTATTCTATGTTGTCTTGTGTGCCTGGAGCCCTGTCATACCATTGTTCGTTCTTCCATAGTATCTTCTTCCTGTAGCCAGCTCAGAAATATGCAGCGAATGGAGAACTTTGGTATCAGTTTCATACTTAACTCTATAAGATGAGATTTTTGGAACTTCTTGAAATTCTGGCTTTAAATCCTAAAATGCTGCAAAAACTCAAAGGGCCTATACTGATAGTTCATTAAATGCCTATGTAGTGGTCACTCTGCTTTGGGATAGAAACTGATTAAAGGATTTGTGCAAAAATCAGGATTGCTGTTACATTTAAACTAGTTTCATACCAGGCTCACCTATATAGTCACCTGCCTGGGATCAGTTTTATTAGTCTGCACTTGTTAATGAGTTAAGGTGTGTTTGAGTGATCTGTTGGATAGAAAAGTACACAATCATGTCAACTTCTAAGTTCTATAATACTGGATTATTCATGTTGTATCATCTAAATGTATTTTTTGTGTTTTTGTGTGTCACCTCGATAATGTATTGAGCAGCCACAGGTGGAAGAAAGTGCTTAGAGAACTGCTTCTGGAAACTGTTCTCTAAATGCTTCTTGAGGCCTTGTACTATAGAGGCAGTTGTTGTCTGTCTTCTCCCATGATGCTATCTGTACATCCGATCAGGTCACAGATGACCTAGTGAATCTGTGAAAAATCTGTAGAAAGAATGAACATTTCTTCAGTCAGCTTTTTCTTTCTGACAGATCCTTTCTTTCTTTTTGAATAAAGTTAATGAAGTCTGAAGGAATTATCTACTTTCGTGATGATAAAGGTGTGCTTGATGACAGAATAATAGCTTCTCTTGCTAAATTTTAGATGTTCTCTTAAGGAATACTGAAAATAAAATCTTCATATGTTCAGTGCTCTTAATTCTGGGAAGACTAAAGTCTTTTGTTTGTAAAGAAATTTTGTGACACCAGCATTCTTAAAGCTTGTCTCTAATGAAATATCTGGCTTATATGGATAAAAAATCCATAACTTTTAATGGGATCTCTGAGCTTTTCTAAATCACAGAATCAAATAAGTTGGAAGGGACTGGTAGAGGTCATCTAGTCCAACATCCTCTTCCTTCTTGACATTTTTGTCCACGTATCCTGGATACAGTACCATGGATGCATTGTTGTCTATGGTCAGGTTTTTTTGGTACTGAGTGATCATAGTGTCCTTACCACTTTTTATCTCTCTGCTGTGATACTGTAGTGTACTGTAGTGAGACTAACACTCCACGTGTTATGTATGGAGGCCTTAGCACCTTCTGGAAGGAGTAAACAGTTGCTCAGCTTCATCTGTTTTTAGCAAGCACTGTAAGAGTCTCTCCTTGTTTGAATGAGGATTTTATTGTAGTGCTAAAAATATCCAAGTCAAAGGTACCTGTAGCAAAAACTGTAATTTCCAGACTTATCGTGTGTAAACAAGAACTGTCAATACATCCAGGAAATTTGAAAACAACAAGAATCTGTCCGGTTACTTAACGCTCTTCATTATCAATTATTTATGAAACTTTATAGATGTCTATCTGTCTTACTTAAGAGATTGAATGACTTGAGTTTCTCTCCATCCCCAGTAGCTCTCCTTCCATTTTTCTGCAGTTAGCATCTGGTTGTCAACAATGTCTCACCTAGAGCAGATGTCAATCAGCTTTTGTATATGTCATAAAATTGACCAGATATTAAGTAACAGATTCTGGTATGTGATGGAAAGAAATAGAGGCAAATAATGTCAAGGCACTGATGGCATTATTCTTAGATGATGTGCAAACGACTTTCTCTTGCTAAGACTGGAAGAATTTTTATTTATCTGCTTCTAATATCAAGATATTTGTTAGTAAGATCAGCACAGACATTTATGAGATAGGTTCCTACGTATATGCTTGCTCATTCTGTATCTACTGCTTGTTTCTAGCACTGAAATGAGATCTCTGAGAACAGCCCTGCTTCCCTGCTACTCTGTTCAGCTGTGCTTTCCAGCTTGGCTTTTCATTACCTCTGTGCTGCTTTCTTGGTAGTTCTGTATACCTGGAATGTGCTCTCTGTTGATTGTTTCCATTCTTTTGTCCTTTATATTGTATGAAGTACCTCTCATATTCTCTGTCCAGTTGACCTAAACTCACTTCTAATCAACTTTTGAGTGATATCCTGGAAATTTCCCTTCTCGGTATAGAATCTGCAGAGACATATGGCCAGTCTGTCATTCTCTGCTGAGTCACTTGGTTTTGTTTCATACTTTTTTTCATGTTTGCACTGCATAAAATATATACACTTAGAGTACTCAATAGTTACTGGGTTTGAAATACTATTTTAGTTTCCTATGGTTCCTGTTTTTTTAGATGTTCATCTTGGTTGATGTTTGACACCTTTCATCAGCTTAGTTGAGAAGATTTTGAGTATTCCAAGTAAATATTGAATTTTTAGAATACTCATAAATTGTTTTACAAGAAAGAATTTTTTTTTCAGTCACTTTTCATGCACACCAGTACAAAGCTGCATTACTGTCAGATTTGGGACATGTTCTAGAAAGAAAGGAAGATGTCATTTAAAACAAGTGCAGTCTTGAATTCTGTACTCTCTGAACTTCCATGATTAGTGAGGCTGGAAGTTTTACTGAAGACTTCAGGTATTATTTGTGACCCTTTTGTTGGGTTTTAATTGCTTGATAGCTCTTTTTACTAGTGCTAAGTTTTGCTTTATCCCTCATGGTTTAAGTTTTGGTAGATGTTTCTTTAGCACAGTGAAACAGAGCAAGGACAGAAAGTTGGTACTCTCCAAAATCAATAACAAAAGTTACTAGAGAACTGTCATGAAGATAAGGGAGCTGAGCAGCATATATAATATCATAAGATTCCAAGGAAGCAGAAATCAACTTTGTATGCATTTATTTATCTCAGCTTTCATTGAACTGTTGATACGCTTTAGTTAACAGGAATATTTGACTTCATTAGGTAACAAACTGTTGTTATTCACTGGACTACCTTCCAAAAATCTTTGCAATTAATGAACTGATTCCTTTAGTCTGTGGCAGTAAATTCAGCATGTAATAACAAGTCTTAGCTTACTGTCTTTATATAGGCATCTGATTCTAGGAAAGCACTTGTATTTTAGGTAGCTAAAGATTAGTTCAGATAATCTGTGAAGTACCTGTCAGTTACTCAGCATCAGTTGCACAGAACTTTGTTACAGAGTACCATGAAGCTTACACATAAGGTAGCACACCTATACAGTACCGTGACTTGGGAAATTAATTCACAGGAAGACTTAGTCAGCTGGCTAGAGCAATCCTAAACTGGGACTGAAGACTGCAGCTGAGGAGTTGTGTGGTATTTTTTTAAGCAAAATATTTGCTTCTTAATAAAATTACTTCTTGCTGAGAGGTCTGGTAGACATGCTCTGACAAACTGAACTGCAGCAGTTTAAGGTGTTTAACTCGGCTGTCTGCCAGTGATTGCCTTAATAATAAGACAGCAGAACAGGATGTATTTAACGTCCTTTTTGCATAATCTATTAGCTGAAGCATTGGTGCGGCCACACTGCAAGACAGATCAAATATCTGATCTGTCAGAAAAAAACATTTTTCAGCTTGATCTGTTTTCTGATTTGTCTTAGTGTATGGCCATACAAATGCTAGTTCCCAGCTGAAAGGGAGGGTAAGAATATGCAGTCAAAGGCCATCTGTAACTATCAGTAGAAAGTCACTTGGAGTTGCCCACTGTGTTGACCCACAGTGATTAAGAAATCGAGATCTTCCTCTGACCTGACTAAAAAACTCTGCTGCTTCTAAACACTATGAAATAAATATGAAAGTTTTGTCAGAGCATCAAGGATTTCAGCTTGAAGTGTGATGTCCTGTAGAAATTATGGAGATGTTCCTTGACCGCATTATTGTTGAAGTTTCTGGTATTTCTGATGAGTATGCACTAAGGTACTGCTTTAAATACATGATTGGACATAAGTAAACAGACTGAGACTAAGTTGTTGAAAGGGTGTCCTGTGTGGCTGCATTTGTTGGGGGGCAGTGTATGCTGGCTGCCATCAAAGTATACAAAAGGTGGAATTCAGCTAGTTTTACTGCAAAAGCAACATTGCTGTTGTTCAGCCATCTTGGGAACTAAATGCTTTAAATGTTATTCAGGTCCTGAAATAGTAGAGTAGCTTCATTCGTTATTGAAAAGCATAGATCTGAGTGAAACTTTATTAGTTCGTGTGGCAAGAGTTTGAGTTTCACACACTGTTGGTTTAAGTGGGAGCAGATGAGCAGCATTAGCTGGAAGATACCCAGTAGGAAAGATATTTGTATTATTTTAGTAATTTGAAAATTCAGAAGCTGTTGATTGGACTTGCAGCACCTAAGCTTTACAGATCAACAGAATAATTATATTGCTTACTTGTGAAAGTAGATCTTTATGGATAAACACCTTGTCTTAAAGTCTGTAGAGTAAACCAGAACTGCCTTCATTGCCAGTGCCTCTCATTGCTTCAGGACACATTTTGTGTCTGTATAGGAGTTGTAACTCTCTGCAGAGGGTTTCTTGTAGTCACCAGTGCTGCTTGCAGTTGCAAAACTTAATCACAGAAGTACTGCTAAAGCAATTGGGCAGCAAAAGATACAAGTCCTGTTGACCAAGTATGAGATGGCTATGAATAATAAGCGGTAGAGGGAGGCCATTCAGCTGTGCATGGCCTTCCTGATTGCTTACTGCTGCTGACAGGTACCTTCCTTACAGAGCTCTGAGACACTTCAGCAGGGCAAGTGTAGTGCTGTGGAGCCAGGAGTAGATAGATACTAAGAGGGTATAAAGCAATGGCTTTATACCTCAAGAGGAATATGAAGCAGGGGCACAGCAAAGGACTGCAAAACCAGACAAGAAGCTAGACTTCCATTACAAAAGTCTGTTCCATTTTATGCTGCCCTATCTGTGCTTGTCATGCTCTACATAGCGTTGAGTTCTTTTCTAGGTGTATACAATAGAATTAATTATCACTCTGTGAGTATCACCTCTTAAATTAATTTTGCTGATTTTCACAGTTGCAACACTGAATGGTATGTTTTCCCCTTACTCTTCACAAATTGCCTAACTCATCATTGCTGAGTTCATTTGTCTTCATCTGTCTGTGTGTCTTCCCTGTTTCTTTTGTATATGTGCTGTAACTCTGTGACCGTCACAAGAATGCAGGCAGTTAATACGAGGAAGAAACTGGTGTTGTAAGTGTGTCCATAAGTGTTGTGGTCTTGTCCTTCCCCTAAAACTTCTCTCCCATGCCAGGGAAGCTTGTGGATAATTTGGTAGTGAAGCAGTGGAGCAGTGGTTGGGGGCAGAAATGTTACAATTGGCACTCTTAAAGTAAATTTATAAAACCAATTAAAAGCATATATTAATTCAAATTGAGTAGTGTATCATATGTTTGATACAGTAAGAATATGATAAGTGAGTTGCACAAGGGAGTCGTCTGCCTTTCCTGAAAAGCACATGAAGATAAAAATGCTCTGAAAAAGGTATTTTTATAAAGTTACTTTGGACATGGTGTGAATGACCTGGAACTGCATGTAAAATTTAATCTGTATGCAATTATGACAAAAAAAACATGGATAAGGTCAGCCAGATAAACTACACAGTGCTGACCTTATTTTTAAAATTATTTAAGGAGATGACAGATCATTTTGGTCTTTTTGTAATAACAAAAATTCAACTTTTGTGTTACCAATAGGTATTAATCTTTTCTTTTCCCAGAGGTACTTAAAAAAAGTTTGACATACTTACAAAAATAGGATGAGATCAGGTTATAGAAATCTAAGCCAGGATTTTGTCATGGTTTTATTTTTGCCTCCAGACTTTAAATACTTCTAATAAAGGATATATTTTAAAGCATGGACTAAAAGCCTAGAGTTCACATTGCTCTGTTTGGAGCTGGGAGAGACTTGTACCCTTCTGTACATTTTTTTACATTTAGGAAGCGTAAGTTTTTTTATTGCAAATCAGTTTTATAAAGACAGAGAAATGAAAAGACCATTCTTCAAGCAACACAACTTCAGTTTCCATTACGTGGACCTTTTAGGAAAAATAGTCTTAATACACTCTTTAGGGCTTGTAGGAAACTGCTTATCTTACATAATGATTTAAAATTGCTCTGTATTTGTTTCTGAGTAGTCCATCTTTTTGGGTAACTCCTTTCTCTTTCAGACTTCCAGAATGACATAAGAGTATTACTTAAATGACTAATGTAATAACATTCTTTCAAGGGGGAAAGTGCTTCTGACTTCTAAATAAGTATCAGTAATGCTACTTATAAATAGTTAAAAATAGTTGTAGTTTTGCATTTTTAGTAGTGTTGTTGAAACAAGGGTAAAAGTAGTACTAATTTTAAAAATACTAGTTGGACTACATTGTACATGCCAAAGAATAGGCAAAATACAATTGTCTCTCCTGGCTTAATACAACTCTTTTTAGTGGGCCTTCAGTGAAATGTGGTAAACAGAAAAGAATTTGTGGCTTTTTTCTTTCCTGTTGTCAGTAGCTCTTGAAAAGGAGACATGTTCTTCTCTCTTTTTCTCACTCTCTCAACTATTAAATCAGGAGGCAGTGCTGATTGGAAAGACCAGGCCTACCACACAATGAGATACAATGTCACTTTCATGCTTCATATACAAAAATGAGTCCATGTAGGTTTTGCTTTTTTACTACTCTTTGTGGCACTGGTGTATGATTAAGCTGCTTCTGCAGTTTTGGCTCCTCCTCTTCATCCTAGTCAGGGACTGCAGCTCAAGGAAATAAAGATGCAATGTACAGATCAAACCAAGAGGGAAGGGGAAAAGGACAAAGCATGTGAGTGAGCCATCTCTGGGATGGCTGTTTTAAGACCTTCTGCTTTCTTCAGATCACTGTTTAGGAAGCATTCCGGGAACGAAAACTTTTTGTTTTTTTTTCTAAATGGATTTAGTCTACCTGTATATCAGGTAATTCGTGACTGATACAAGTTTGTATACTTAGCTGTAAAGTAAGACCTCATTATATAGGCTTTCAACTTGGGTTTAGTACATAAGCAAATGAAAATTATATGGATAAACCTTTATAAATTATTAAAAGGTGCCTAGCATCGTGTGATCTGAAAATGAGGAAGGAGTATTATTACTATTTGTTAGAACAGTGGCAGAGTAAGTGGTGGTAAGCAGGGGACTGGATTTACTTGAAGTAGGAAGTTGGATGTGATGAACACAAAAACCAGTGATATGTTTGTACACTTTCTGCAAAGGCCTAATCAAGTGTAGCGAGAAAATCTTCTAGTGCAAGACATAAAATTTGGTATTAAAGGGATACGTAATAATAATCCACAGGAATGGGAGTGAAGCATATGCAGATGAGAAAAGTTAAAAAAACAGGCAGGAGGGAAGTATTCCAGCACAATCTGCTGGAAAATAAAATAACCTTAAACTTTTTTTAAAAGAAAACACTAGAAGAATTGGAGAAAGGTTATTTTTTATATTTTAAAAGTGTACAGTACAGTAGTCCTTAGGCTTGTCATTGAGAATGGATGAAGATCTTTCACTTTACAAGTGAGAAATATTGAGTATTGTGAAGACTGACAAGATTGGTTTTGCCTGAGGTTATCTTTCCAGGCACAGCCTGGAAATGACATACTACTAATAATGGTAACAAGATAGTCAAAAGATTTATTTACCAGTCTTTACATTAACAAAGCTCAGTCATGGTGAGCCATTGATGATGTTTTAGGAGAGTTGCTTGAAGAAAATTATTTTTTCTTTCACATGTTTAACTCATTGATTACTTGTTTAAAAAGGGGGAGAGGGATCACTGGAAATTGCATAAAGTGCTGCTTATCTCCATCCACCTTTAATTTCATGTATTTTATGTTAAAACTTATTTTCATTAATTACTAATGACAGGCTTTATGGATGGTTTGATTCAAGCTGGTGAACGGTCAGTGTGTAAAAATGTATATGTAATCTAGGTTTGTAACTTCAGAATAGCAGTGTCTTAAGTTTTATGAAGAAATTACTGGGGATTTAAAGAGCTTTGGGATTTATTTGTGGGACAATTCAAATAGATTTGATCAGTCAGAAATTTCAAAATACATGCCTCAAACAGGAAGAGTGAATGGGGAAGACTTGAAACAATAAAGGTACAAAGGAAACCAGGGAGTGAATCAGAATTTAAGAGAAACAGGGGGAAAGTGCTAATCAGTAGAGGTAGACAGAGATATATTTGGGGTCAGATAGTATTAGCAATTCTTTTTTTGGTCTTAAGAATATACTTAGCGAAAAGATATTGAAATTAATTAGAAAATATTTATGTAAATATACAGATATTTGTATCCATAAATGCATTTTCGGTGCAGTCTCTGTAATGCTGGGCATGATTTGTGGAACTTGCATTGTCATTGAAGCCAGGACAGATTCTTGCTTTGTCCTCAGAAACTTAATTTCATTTAACTCTTGTAACTGGAAGCAGTAAAAGCATCAATTATCTATAATGTCATGTATCTGTGTATCTGAAAAGTGCATTCAAATGTCTAACATGATCTCTATTTTTCCCCCTTCCTGCTGTTCTAGGAATTGGCTCTCCGTAGCCAGCTTCCAACAATGGAACAAGACGGTGGATCGCAAAACCCCGTGTCATCTCCTGGAATGTCTCAGGAACTGAGAACAATGACTACAAATAGTTCTGATCCCTTTCTTAACAGGTTTGTAGGAGTAGCTACTAGAGGAAAAAAATTTGATTTAAAATTCTGTTTGGTACATGTAATAGTTTATTTTGAACATCTGTCTGTGCCAAGAGCCACAGCTGTAAATGAATCTTTCCTTAAATGGCAAGTCTAGTAAAAGTTGAGGATTAAAAGCTGTCTCCTGTGGGAGGAAGTAGTCTGTTCAGACTTGTAGGAAGGTTTTTATTCAAAGTCATAACATGTTTGTCTCTGCATAATCTGTTGACTAACAGTCATTTCAAATTACTGACTCAAAGAATTTGTGAATAGCTCGCTGTGAGATCAAATGAACTGTGAGGCACATTTAGGACTACACCTTGAGGTTAATTTTAAAGTTTCTCCATTCACCCCTTCCTTCCACTTCAAGTATTTAGCAGTATTTTTACTCTCTTAATGTTAGGTTTGCAAGTAGTGGCATGTTTCATTTTAAACGCTGTATTATTTTGAAGTGGGTATTTTAATTCAAGATTTAGAATTTTACAGTATACACTAGTTTTTAATACAACTTTTTCCTTAATCCCTCTGAGTTGGAGTGTTTGTTATGCTGGAAATACTGTTCAAATTACAGCTTGCCAATGCTTCATACTAAACACTACAACTTTGGAAAAACTGCTGGAGCTTGAGATGAATGATGTCTGTATTTTGGGTAACCCCTCAGGAAAATTTATCTCCTACACAGATAAATAATGACTAGAAAACTTAGTTTTTTGTTAGAGGGAGGGATTATCCTCTATGGAATTCATCCTGGGATCTTGTGTGAGCTGCAGCTGTGCTGGTCTTGTCCTAAAGTATAGAAAGGACAAGAAATGTTAAACCTGACCTGCTCTCCTATGAGAAGGCTCAGTAGACAGATGATGGTCTTGATGTGTTCTAGTAACATACTAGCTTGAATTTCTGGAAGGCTGTTGCCATCATACATACAGGTCCTCACATCTTCAAAACCTGTTTTCTGAAAGAAGTGCATCTTCAGGTTTCAAATGGCCACAGCAATGGGCTGATGCAGTTTATCCATTGTGAGCTTACACACATGAAATAAAAAGTGATGGATCTTTGCCATTAGCAACAAACAGGACAAAAGCTAGAAAGGGCAAATTCATGTTTTGTAATTTCATGGCAGGTTGATATTTACTGTAAAGTGCAAAAAGATACTGCTTGCCTAGTTGCATATAGGTTTGACTGGGTTTGTGGGCTTTTTTTGTAGCCCTTACTCCACGCAAAATATTAAAAATGTGTCCTTGACTTGAGTTCAGAATATTTTAATTTGCATTTTGATCTGAGCATTGTCTCCTTCTAGGTTATTTTATGTGCATCACCTCATTTAATTCTATCATATGGGTATGGGAAAGGGATTTTTAAGAAAGGACATTTGTGAAAATGCTTTGCTGTCCTGAATTAGATACAGCAGTCCAATAGTTTTGCTCTAAAGTTCTTGTTGATATTCCTTATGTTAAAGTTCAGACTTAGGGAAATACTTCGTGCTGTCTTTATAGGCTGTACATAAAGTTCCTGGTGAACTAATTTTAGGCCTAGGTCCTAGTTTTGGGCCCTGAATTTGGATATCCAAAGTTTAGGTAGTCCACTGCTTGTATAATAGAAACATTAAAAAAAAAAATCTCAGAAAATAATGAGTACACTGGAGCAATTGGAGAAAACATGCAGTAGTGTTTTCATGTACATAGTCTAATCTTCTGCCTGCTATCTTCAGTACTTCCTGTCATTGTGGCATATTTGATTTTTTTGAATGGGTCATTCAACAGTGCAGATTTTATTAGACTATTTCACCTTTTGATTTACCACGCTGTTCATATATTTTTGTCTGCTATATTTATATTGGTAGTGATGGTAATTCTCTGTTTAACTCCTAAATTGGTATTTCTTCTTTTGTATACACATATTTTAATAGTTATTAGTTGAAGAAGAATCCACTCTATTTTGGGTAATGCTGTTTAGTTCAATGTGGTAATTTTGGGTGGTATGACTACTAAATGAAGAAATCCTTGTGGAAGAAAGAGGAAATGTATATTAAGGAGTGATTTGAAGAGAAGTGCTGGACATTCCAAGTGTGAGAGCAGCAGCCAAAAAGCCTTCTCCACTAAAGTGATTTAGTTCAGCATTGCCTCAGTTCTGTTTTTAGTATTTTGTCCCATAAAGTAAACCAACATCTTTTTTCACAGAAGTTTTAAATAGTTTATTTATTAGGATTGTGTCAAATGTGTGGTGATTCTATTCTTAAATCAATCTAAAAAAAGAGAAATATTTATGATTTAACTGTAAAGAAATGTTAGGTTCCTTTCTTGTATGGTAAAGATGTCCTCATGAAATCTAATACATATATATGTCTTATGGCATTCTACTGGCATCCAATGTTGAATAGCTGTTCATCACCATTTTGGTTCTTCATTCTTAATAAAAAGACATATACTATATACTTCACAAGCACATTATGAGAAGTATCAGTGTGTCTTCAGATGCTAATTTGAACAATAAATCAAGTTGATCTTCATTTAGTATGCAGGCTGGAAAATCAGTAAGGATTCTCAGTGAATGCTACCACAACCTGAAGAAATATAGATTTTGAAAATATTTTGTGAAAAGACTGGATATTAGGAAATGCAGGGGAAGGGAGGTAGTAGTGTGCTCCTGCAACTGCTTATGCAGGCCACTGCTCCTGCCATCAGACCTCCTCTGGCATGGGCTCCTCTCCACAGGCTGGAGCTCTTGCCAGGAGCCTGCTCTAACTTGGCCTCTCCATGGACTACAGCTTCCTTCAAGGCTTGCCCCCCTGCTCCAACACAGGGTCCTCCAGGGGCTGCAGGTGGATCTCTGCTCCATCATGTTACCTCCATGGGCTGCAGGAGCACAGCTGCTTCACCATGGTCTGCACCTTGGGCTGCAGGGGAAATCTCTGCTCTGGCATCTGGAGCACCTGCTCCCCCTCCTTCTGCACTGACCTTGGTGCCTGCAGGGCTGTTTCTCTCACATATTCTCACTCCTCTCCTCTCTCCCATCTGTTCAGCATTTTTACTCTTTTTAAAAAAAATACGTTATCACAAAGGTACCACCACTGTCACTGATGGGCTCAGCTTTGGGCAGTTGGACCACTTTGGAACCAGCTGGAACCAACTGGGTCAGACGTCGGATCAGCTCCTGGTGCCTTCTCACAGGGTACATCCCTGCAGACCCCTTGCTACCAAAACCTTGCTATGTAAACTCAATCCACTGGCCAGCTTCCCCGCCCCATCCCAAATTTCCCACTGTGGCTTTCTTGGTTTTGCTCGCTGTGCTGGCAGTAAGATGGCAGTAAGAAAGTGAGTGCATGTAAGGCCCCATGCCATTAGTTTGGTTAACCGTTCTGTCAACAGGATCATTCTGAGCGGGGTTTGTTTACAGGACAGCTTCTGTACTAGTATTTGATTTATATTAGGGCACTCGGTTGCCTTGATGTGTGACTGAACAAGTAGTAATGCAGCAGTGGGAAGCAAATGAAGAATAGCTAAAGGAGTTCCAACTATTTATAACAGCAGTGACCTAAAAATATACTTCAGTCGTTGATTAAACATGAGGACATTAGTAGTTAGAAATATTTTTTTGTTATCCTTATGGAAGCCTGAAAGGATGAACCATCATTATTATTATTTTTATAATCATTACAGACTATCTCATATGCTTCCAATGGTTTTAGCTGTGGGTGGGTGGGTGTGAAAATATTAAAATTATGCAGAACACAAGTAGGCAGTTTCTTAAAGCTGCTTGAATATGCTCTCATCAAGTTAAATTGAATCTAAATAATATGGTTTTAATTGGAAAAGGTCTGCATAAAATACAACCCAGGTGTCCCACCCAGACAAAGGCTTCAGTTTTTTTATCACAGTAGAGCATTTCTCAGGACAGCAATGTTTCCAAAGCCCTTGAATTGGTTGAAAACAAGCATCTATTTTATTTTCTTCTATAATCCTCTGTTTTTCTTCAAAAACCCTCATTTTTTTTCTCTTTCTTCTGTTGCAGTGGAACATATCACTCCAGAGATGAAAGCACAGATAGTGGACTTAGCATGAGCAGTTACAGTGTACCCAGAACCCCAGATGACTTCCTGAACAGTGTTGATGAGATGGATACAGGTCTGGTTTTGTGTTCATTTTTAATGCATGTTTTCCTGATATACTTGTATCCATTTGCAATGAAAACAGTTAACTCTGAGAAGCTGTGATACTTTTTGCATTGTTTTTCTACCTTTTTCTATTTTTTCTATTTCCCCTATTTCTGTAATAGAAATGTTATGGTTAGATTTGTAAAAAACGTATTGATAATCAACTGTATTGGAAGGATGGGAGATTGCTCATAAAAAGTATCACTCTTGTTGTTATAAGGAATTTGAGTGTGTTATAAGGAATTTGCTTTTTAAAGTATATTTTTTGTTCAGAGCTAAGAATAATATCTCCTCCACTGTTGTTAATACTACTCCAAAACTGTATTTGATTCAGTATTGTCTTTTTCCTTTAAGTGTAAAAATCAAATTATGCTAAATGACATCAAAGATCTGTAGAGATTTGGGTTGCGTAGATGAAAATTTGAAACAAAGACATGTTCTTTGTACATCTACGTGCATTCAAGTTACCTTTGGGTAACTTGATGCCTTTGGGTTTTGTGATGGATTTCTGTGAATCACATTGTTTGTACAATGCAGGAGATACATGATTAACCTTTAACCAGTTGTCCTGTTAAATTATAGGTTTGGTACTTCCAGTATATTTAATATCCATCCTACTTTGTGTTATAACTAGGTGACAGTATCGGCCAAAGTAACATACCATCCCATCAGAACCGTTTCCCAGACTACCTTGAAGCCATTCCAGGGACAAATGTGGACCTTGGGACACTGGAAGGAGATGGGATGAATATAGAAGGAGAAGAACTGATGCCAAGTCTGCAAGAGGCTTTGAGCTCTGACATCCTTAATGACATGGAATCTGTCTTGGCAGCCACCAAGCTAGATAAAGAGAGTTTTCTTACTTGGTTATAGGGGCCTCAGGGAGACTGAATTCTGAATCTGTGAAGGATCTAAGGAGATTAGGACATCTGTATCTGAAGTTCAGAACAAGCCAGTGTGGCACACTTTGGCTTGTGTTCAGAAAAAGTAAATGAACAAATATTCAACAAGATTCTTTCAGTTTGCTCTTCCTTGTCCATCGCTGCTGTTATATATTGCTGACTTTTTTCCACAGTTGACTCTGAAGAACAGACATCTTGATTTTTTTCTATTGCTGTTGCAACTACTGTTCAAGGGGGGTGGGGAGGGATGATGAGCCTATTTGGATGACGAATGCCATTCCTTCTGTCCTAGTGTGCGCTTGCATATCATTTTATCTAAGTACTCAGATTTGAGAGTTAATTTCTGCATGTCACTGCTTGTAGTTTGCTTAGCTAGTTGTCTACTGCTGCCTGTGACAAGTGGTAAAACATGACATACTCGGGTGACAAGCCAAAAATGATGTATCTGGTCAAAAGAAGTCAATACTGATTTGGAGATACAACTTAAAGGAGGGCTGAAGACTGTTTGGCATTAAGTGTTTCTACTAGTAGCTCTTTCATTAGTCACGAAGTGCTCTTCTTCATATGTTATAGTAAATCATGAGTCATTTTACATAGAAACGTATATGAACTTTGATTGTTGCCACATACTCTAGCCTAACTTTTGTTTGTCATCAATACTTTGATTATTTTTGTTAGTTGGTTTAACTGTAGCTGTAGGATGGGAAGTAATTATAGGTGTTCTTGGGGTTTTTTTTAATAGTGAAATCTAAGGGGTTTTTCTGATTTCACACAGTCTTATTTAAATCTGAATTGTCTGCTTTTTTTATACTTAAAACATGCCTATTGTAGCCTGATAAGCTAGTGAGTACATAAACCAGTATGTTTTGCCTGTAACTTTTTTATTTTTTTAAAGGCTAGTTTTGAATGTAATCATTAGAATTTATGACCAGTGGCTTATTTTTCGTGTATATTTGCAAGATTTTGAATTAGAATCTGATAACAGCAATGTAAAAGTTAAAATACTGTGTTGTATGTACAATTTTTAAATGCATTTTAAAGTAGCAGAAACCATTTTAAAATTACATGCATCTAATCTCTCTTCTGGTTTTCAGTTTTGATCTCTGAGTTTAGATTTTAAAATCCTTAATGGGAAAAAATTGGTGAAAAATTTCTCTCAAGTTAGCATGGACAAAAAGTCTGAACCATTAATGTCACTGTGCGTTGCAATGAAAAGGCTAGAACACCAAAAAATCCTCAATTCAAACTTCTAAGTGTAATAGTTATCAAATTCTGTTTGGTGAAAAATAAGCCCTGGACACTATATGTAGAAGAATGTAAAGATATGTGTTAGATGGTGACATGAGCAGGTAATGAAGTGTATATTAGTAGTAGAGCTTAGCATGGGGTAGAGGTGAATATGAATTATCTTTATTTTAACAGGAAAAGATGTATCACTAAGTTGTCTGCAGGAGTTGACACAAGTTTCCAAAGAGTATTTTTAAATGAACAAAATGAGCATGAATCAAACTTTCAATATAAGCTATGAATTTTTGTGGGGCTTGTGGGCTTTTTCTGATGAAAAAGTGTCACCAGTTAACACCTCTATAATTAAGGGCCTGTCACCATTCTCAACATGAGCCTTTATTTTCAAGGGTGTATAACATGACTATAAAGATACTCTAGGCGTGTAACTTGGTTTTGAAAAAAAAAATCTCACTTAGCAGGGACTATTCCTGAGGAGAGATTTTTGGGGTTTTATTGTTTTGCTTTTTAAGACATTGATTATTTTTCAAGTTAGGAATGAATCAGCAAAACAGACAAAAAACCCCCCAGATATTATCATTGCCATTTGGATTTTTTTTTATGCTTCAGAAATAGTTCTGTTTTAGGATGATGTAAAGAACGAAAACTCTGAACCAAGTTCATTTTAAAAACTGGAGCAGCAGAGGCAGAGATTTGAAATTTGCCACTATAAATGTAAACTTACTATTTTACGTAAGGATATTAGTGTTTGAAAAACACAAAATTTTTGGCTTGTTATGGGATACAAGCAAGTTTTAAAATACTAATTTTTAAAACACATCCACAATGACAAATATATTCTGCTACACCAATACTTCAGCGATAAATAGGCCACTTATATTGTGCAATGACACAGTAGCTCCTAAAGCAGTGTATTGTGTCCAAGATAGGGATTTTAGTAGCATTTTTGCAACTTTATTATGAATTCTTCTCTCTCACTCTCTTCAGGAGAGGAAAAAAAAGGACACTAAGTTGTTATAACTTGAATGGTCTGACATAAAACCACAACAGCAAGGAAAGTCAGAGTTGATTCCATTTCAGTTGTCTTCCACAGTTGTATCCAGGTATCGTAGCTCATACAGAACCATAGAATATACTGAGTAGGAAGGGACCCATCAAGATCATGAAGTCCAACTCTTGGCCCTGCACAGGACACCCCAAAAATCACATCATATGCCTGAGAGCATTGTCCAAATGCTTCTTGAACTCAGACAGGCTTGATGCTGTGACCACTTCCCTGGGAAGCCTGTGCATCCTGATATCTAACCTAAACCTCCCCTGACACAACTTCAGGCCTTTGGGTTCTGTCACTGGTCATGAGAGTGAGGAGATCAGTACCTGTCTCTCTACTTCCCCTCATGAGGATGTTGAAGACTATAATGAGGTCTCTCCTCAGTCTCCTCCAAGCTGAACAAACCAAGTGACCTCAGCCATTCCTCATAAGGCTTCTCCTCCAGTCCCTTCACCATCCTTGTGGCCCTTGCTCTCTAAGAGCTTAATATCTTTTTTATATTGTGGTGCCCAAAACTGCAAACAATATTGAAGGTGAGGCCCTCCCCAGTGCAGAGCAGAGCGGGACAATCCCCTCCCTCAACCGGCTGGCAATGCTTTGCCTGATGCCCCCCCCCGGACACACTTGGCCCTCCTGGCAGCCAGGGCACTGCTGACTCATGTTCAACTTGCCATGGACCAGGACACCCCAGTCCCTTTCTGCAGCACTGCTCTCCAGCCTCTCATTCCTCAGTCTGTACACACAACCAGATATGATGCACCGAGTGCAAACTCCTGACATGCTGTACCTTGCTCCAACAGAAATGAGTAAGAACAAATTTTCTTTCCTTGCTTTTGTGTGTTTGTCGCAGCTTTAATATTTGAATGTTTTATTCTCATCGTAGAAACACTAAATGGCTTATACTGTATTTGAGTAGCACTGCTTAGGGTAGATACTGACAAACTGGGAATCCTTGAACTGCTCTAACATTAATTATGTTTTGTGATACTTATTTTAATTGATTATAAGACACTTCCGTTCTCTCATTTATTAGGAAACATACCATAGAGATGCTGTACTGTTGGCAATCAGCATTAATTTGGGTTATTTTTTTTTTTAATTCTGCAAATGCATTGTTTGATGAAGTGGTTAAAATTGTTTGAAATACAAAAGTTTTTTGGGTAGTATTTTATACTGTTGTATATATTGAAACAGAAATCATTGTAATAATTGTAATAGCTTTTAGTTATAAATACACTATATGCAGACAGATGGGGCTGTACAGTACTGTGCTGTTAACACCCGGGCAGGGCTACTGCTTGGAAACAGGTTGCAGTGTCAGTAAACCACATGGATCAAATATTGTACCATTCAGTGTTGGCGCTCACCAATGCAAAAGGAGAAGAGACGATTTCAACATGATTAACACTACATGGTAAATTAGTACTACAGTGACCTTTTCACTTACAAGCATGTTTTTTATACAAATTAACAGGTGTGCCTGTGTAAAATAATTTGTGTTCTGTATCTTGGAAAAAGTACTCTCCACATTTAGAATCACAGAATCATGTCGTATGTTAGAGAATTATGTCCAAAATTATATATATTACTTACCAATGTTATTTTTAGATACGAGCATGACTGTAAGCTAGGTACTTAAGTACATTCTGTTACATTATTTTTCTTTATGTAATACTTTTTCAGTTGTTTTATTTGTTATAAATATATACTTTGTGCTTAAACTTCTTTGTTTGTTTTTAACATTCAGTGGTATGTAAAGATATGATTTCCTTCCTTAAGATGGATGCATTGAATTGTTGGAATGCCTATTGTAGTGCGTCTGTTCTTGTCCCCCTTGTCACTGCTTTTTTAGTCATAAACTGCAATCCTGCAAACATGGTGTGCAAGCTCACCTGAGAGACAAATGAGTCCCACTAATGTCAGTGAAGGCTTAACATTAAAGTATATACATCTCCGTGTCCTTGCAATAATGAAGAGACAGTGATTCTGCTGAGCGTCAGGCAGCTTGTGTAAAACAATTCTTTAATTGCATTCGGCACTATAGTGAGAGCTGGTAACAGAACATCTGATTATCTACTAGAAGAAAGCATCCACTTTTTGCAGATATGCTTGCCATGTTCAGATGGCAGATACATTTTTGGCTAACTAAGTTTATGCATTAATTTGTGGCAGACTATCAATAAAGACACGCTATTTTAATTTCCAAGTTTTGACTTATGAATTGGGAAATATGTAATGACATACCTTGAAAGTACCTGAAGATTTAAGTTTAACATATCTTGACAGGATTCATTAATTTTGACCTTCTCTAAAAGAGAAATTCTGAAAAGTGGGGGTTTTTTTGATGTAATGGCCAAAGTTGTACACTATTTGCATTTAGCAGTTCCAGAGTTACTACTACTATTCAGCACCAAAATGCCCCAACCCTGTGAAATTCAGTCCATTTGTGTTTTGTTAATTAAGGGTCCAGGGCTTGATGCTTCTGTCCTTTTGTCTTGTACTCCTCATAGCCATCTTTAGTCACCCAGGTCCTTTAAATTTAAGCCTAACATCACACCTTGCACCTCGGATTAGAAAACCAGTGCCAGGGAAGGATAAGGCACCTATTTTATTTGCTGATATCACTCTCATTTATAAAGTGGTGACATACTGCAGTAGTTGAAGTATGAGTGACCTTCTGAGGCAACCATAAATAGACTGTATTACTGCAAAGCAGGATATTTGCTCCAGGTGTTCGAGGCTCACTTGGCAATGCTCTTTGAAATATTTTCAACACTTAGTTAAAAATAAAAAGTATTAATTTCATTAAGTCAG